AATGAAGACAAGATAGCACATATGTCGCTTTTGTAGTGTTACGATATACTCCTTTTGTAATATTGAAAAATGATAGTGGTGTTATGTTACGATGTACTACTTTTGTCATTTCGAAAATCAAACTATATATAATATTTGGAAAGAAGGATTATGTAATTGTCTTAGGCTCGATGAAGTAATAATGGCAGTTATATTGTTTAACGACAGTTGTGTCGTTTTTTTTTTTTATGTTCATTAAGTAATGAGCATAACTCCCGAATGTTGTAAGCAGTGTGTTCATCATGCAACTTAAATGAGTTCAGCTTATCATTATCGTGGCTCAGACGGTGACATCTCTTCATAATCGTGTTTAGAAGCAGAATGACACTTGTACTGTTTTCAAAACAATAACGACAGTTGTGTCGTTTTCTTTTTTCATCTTGATTAAGTAATGAGCATAAATCCCGAATGTTGTAAACGGCGTGTTCAGACTGCAACTTAAATGAGTTTAGCTTATCATTATCGTGGCTCGGACAGGTCATGGCTCTTCATATTCGTGTTTATAGGCAGAATGACACTTGGGCAGTTTTCAAAACCGTAACAGCAGTTGTGTCTTTTTTTTTTCTCTTGATTAAGTTGTGAACATAAATTTAGAATTTTGTAAGCGGTGTGTTGAACTTGCAACTTAAATGAGTTCAGTTTATCGTTTATCGTGGTTCGAACGGGCCACGGCTCTTCAAAATCGATTTTAGTGGCAGAATGACACATGTATCGTTTTGTGTCGTTCTGTTGATTTTTTCCAATATTTTGCTACTTTTCAAGGCAAGGACATCAAGGATAGGCCCCACCACCCTAAAACGGACGAAAATATTGATTATGTAACAACTAGCGCTAGAATTGGTATAGAATATAAGGTATGAAATTGTGAAACCNGATTATGGTGGCTCGGACGGGTCGCGGCTCTTCAAAATCGTATTTATTGGCAGAACGACACTTGTGTATTGGAACGACACTTGTGTCGTTCTGTTGATTTTTCCAATATTTTGCTACTTTTCAAGGCAAGGACATCAAGGATTGGACCCCCCAACCTAAGAAGGACGAAAATGTTGATTGTGTGACAACTAATGGTGGAATTGATATAGAATATAAGGTATGAAACGGTGAAAACACAAGTCTTAATCTAAAATCGTTTGAAAGTACAAGTAATGGACATATCTCAAGAATTTTGTAAGCGGCGTGTTGAGCCTGCAACTTAAATGGGTTCAGTTTATCGATTATTGTGGTTCGGACGGGTCGCGGCTCTTCAAAATCGATTTTGGTGGCAGAACGACACTTGTGTCGTTCGTTGATTTTTTCAATATTTTGCTACTTTCCAAATCAAAGACATCAAGGATTGGACCCCCAACATAAGAAGGACGAAAATATTGATCGTGTGACAACTAACGATGTAATTGATATAGAATATAAGGTATGAAACGGTAAAAACACATGTCTTAGTCTAGAATCGTTTGAAAGTATAAGTAATGGGCATATCTCAAGAACTTTGTAAGCGGCGTGTTAAGCCTGCAACTTAAATGGGTTCAGTTTATCGATTATCGTGGTTCGGACAGGTCGCGGCTCTTCAAAATCGATTTTAGTGGCAGAACGACACTTGTGTCGTTAAGCGACACTTGTATCGTTCTATTGATTTTTTCAATATTTTGCTACTTTTCGAGACAATGACATCAATGATTGGACCTAGGGGTGGGCGCGGTTCGGTTCGGTTCGGTTCGGTTCGATTTTTTTCGGTTCCAGAAATTTTCGGGTATTTAGTAAATGGAACCGTCGGTTCCAAATATAATTTTGTAACCGTTCGGTTTCGGTTTGGTTCGGTTATGTTCTGGTC